ATAAACCTAGCAGCCACTGTATTTCTTGGAAAGATAAACGTAGTAGCTGACCCAAATTATTTCGAACACAGAAAACTCAAACCAAGAGCAAACAACAACATACCACGGTTTAGTTTCGGCTTCTTCAATCAAATGCCGGTCGAATGCAAAGAGAAGTCCTACATAAACCAGGTGCAGCATCACCAATGCTACTTTTAAACCCGATGAAGATCTCCGAGCTGAAACCCACGAGTAAAAAACGAAGATAATGATAAGAAACGAAAGAACCAGCAGAAAACGACGAAGGCATCAAGCTCAACTAAAATTCAGATAAGACAAGGTAAATTAGTGAAACCAAAAGGCATAGAAACATGGGGAAAAAGCGCAAGTAATCTGCATCCATTACTCAGTTCCCATTTCAGTTCCCCAAAAGTCTGCCATGGATTGAAAAAGGGGTTAAGTTTTCGAGACGTACCAGGATCGGAGAGACAGGGGAAAAGGCGAACGTATCGGTCCATTGTTCGATCCAAGAAGTCGCGAGGGCGGCAAACATCCATTATCATCTTCAAACCATGAAAAAACTGGTGGCAATTTTACATCAACGTTATCGGCGAGCAATTTTCGAAGAGTTTTGTCGCCGTTTACTCAGAAATTACCATTGAAGAAGAGAAGGGAAGAGTTGTTGTACTGAATCTGCAAGAGAAACTGTAAGAACGGTGTTCAATTCCAATGAGCCAATTTTATAATTTCTTTTTCATTTATTTATTATTATTATTATATATAATTGATCCAGTTATTATTAAATAGTTGAGAAGCCAAATTAATTTTAACTACATTCCATTAAACCCTAAATTTCAATTAATATCTTTAGGCTTAAATTACAATTTTAGCCCTTAGAATTTGAGAAAATCCAATTTTATCCTCACCATTAATACTAACTTCAAAATTTAATATTTAATTTTTTTTATTGATAATTATATGTGGGTTATGAAAAAATATTTATTCGACTTAAACGAAGGATGAACGAAAAAATGGACCAGCTCGAAATTACAATGGTCTTAACAATTAAAAAATGTTTAAAACTGGCGGTTATTATTCATACCAATAAAATACACATTTCTTTTCAATGACCCAATCACAAAAATTTAAAACATGCTAAAATGACTCGTGTTGATTTATAATAATAATTTTCTTTCTTAATATTTTATGATAAGTAAATAACGTGGTCATGTCGTAAGAGATGCAAAAGAATGTCGATGATATGAATTACTAATTTGGGTCTCAAATCATGGTCTGAGTCGAGACATTTAGAAAAATGATGGTATTAGAGCAAAACATTTCTCAGCTAATGAATGGATATGTTGATTTTACTATTTTAATAGCGCAAATAATTAATATAGTAATATCATATTTGTGGAGGGTGTGTTCGTCTAAGAATTTTATTTTATAATTTTATTAAATTATAAGGAATAATTAAAAAAATTTAAAATTTTAGAAAGATGAGAGTTTTTGAATTTATTTATTTGAAATAAGTTTATAACAGATTTTATAATAAAATTTAGATATATTGTAAAGATTCACAGATTTAGAAGGGTTTAGTCAACAAAATCTAAAAATAGAAATTTTTGAAATTAAAAAAAAATATATAAAAATAAGAATCGATTAGATTAAATTTTAAGAAATTTCAGTCTTCTTCTCGGAAGGAAACGACAGCAATTCTACCACTCGAATGGAGGAATCTCGAATGGAGGAATCTCAGGTACCGTGGTCCGACCTTCCTCCACAGCTATGGCCGCTGATCGGAAAGAATCTCCATACCTACATCGACGTTCTCCGATTTCGCAGCGTCTGTAGATTATGGCGTGATTCTCTTCCGAAAGTGAACGCCATTTTTCCTCTTTCACTTCCCCCTCCCCTTCGCAGTCGCCCTGATCCCTTATTTCATCGTTCAAAGCATGAGGTTGTACTTTTCCGAAAGATAATCTATCGTTTCATTCCTCTCGATCAACATAAATCTGATTCTCCCAAGGGCTGGTTAGCCAAGATCGAGACCACAAATCTCGCCGATAAGCGATTTCATCTCCCGATCTATTCGGACTATCAATGCCTCTCCAGCAACCAAGTGAATGAAGTGAACTTTCTGGATTTTGGAATCGAGGAAGTAGGTAAATCGTATTTTACTGAACTCACTAATTTTTATACCACTAGTGTTTCAGCAGTAGATAAGGTTGTAGTGTTGCCTCAATCTGCCTGCCTCGATGTGAAGAACTGCGTTATTGTAGGAATCGACCGTATAGGAAGGTTAGCGTTTAGGAAATATGAGAATGCGCGAAATTGCTGGCAGCGGATTGGTGAACACAAATCTCTTTACGATGATGTGATTATGCACAAAGGAAAAATTTACACAGTTAATAGAGCTGGAAGAGTTTTCGTAATTGATTCATCGATGAAATTTATTGAAATTGCTCCTCCAATGAGTGAATCCGGTGACCTAAAACATTTCGTTCAATGTCGGGGCGAACTTTACGCAGTGGATCGATTTGTGGAAAGGAAGGCATGTTTATTGGATTTATTGAATTCAAATTCGTTTCATATTCGTATGTGGTGCTGTAGCATATCGACAGCAAACGCGGTCGATTTCAAGGTCTACAGGCTTGATGAAGAACAGGGAAGATGGGTGGAGGTTAAGGATCTGGGGAATGACGCGTTCATTTTGGGGACGGATGGTTTCTCAGTTTCAAGCGCTGATGTTGAAGGTTCTGAAGGGAATTGCATATATTTTTCACATGATTTGAGATCAGACCTTGGGCGTGGATTTGGCACTCATGTGTTCAATCTTGAGAAAGGGAATATTCAGAAATCATGTCTGCAGATTTTGAAGGCGTCCCCGATTTGGCTGGATTGGGAGCCATCTCTGCCTGCCTGATATAAGTTCATCATCCATGAGACTTACAGATGAACAAGATCAATGAAGTCCACTGTAAGTTCACTTTCCAATTGGTTTTGTGTTTCAATTTAGGCACTTTTGCTGGGTTTCAAATAGCTTCATGAATGGTGGTTCCTGCTAGAACTAGAACGCACACTCAATGTTCTTCTTTGTCTGCATGTAGGATTCTTTTGTTTTGTTTATTTTCTGATTGGATTGATGTAAAAATTGATGGATGTTCCATGACAGCCATTCAATTATGCAACTCCGAGCAGAGTTGGTAGTAGGTAGGAGATAGAATGATCCATCGGAATGGTGGGTGGGTCAGGATTCAGTGAATAAATTCATTATTCTTTCTACTTAGCCCAGAATTGGTGTTGCAACGAACTGGTAAAATGAAAACCCGTCTTCATAAAGAAAGGAAAAATAAATAAATTAATAAATAATTGAAGAGTGTTTGTTACCTTATTCAAAATTCGTTTAAAATATTTTATTTTTATTCTCGACTTATAATATAAATCCAAATATGCTCTAAGCAATTTTATTATTTGAACTGAAAATCCAAATATGCTCTAAACAGTTTTATTATTTGAACTAAAAATCCAAATATGCTCTAAACAGTTTTATAATTTCAACTAAAAAAGATAGTTATTTCGAGATTTTTTTTAGTAAAATTATTATGTTAGATAGGAAGTTTTTTAAAAATAAAGTTCAAATAGGGCACTCTCCCTCTCTGCCAAGTTTTTTAAAAATAAAGTTGATAATATCTACCGACCACAGCAAAACTTGAAAAGAAAAGTTCGACAATTGGCTAAATCCGCTAAATCCTATAGAAGTTCTAAATCCGCTAATAGAAAGAAGCAAAAGAATCTAGGCATGCCTCTACATATTCTTGTACAGTCAAAAGGGGATCGATTCCATAAAGGATGTGAGATAAGTAAATGAAAATGAAGGGGGCATGGTTGATCGTCTAGTACCCAGTACCCAGAGCGTCTTGATTGAGAGTATACCGCATCAGTATAGCTATCCTTCTTCTGAGATGGGTCAAGCTGCTTGCTTCTCTCATGAACCTCGGTAAAGCATACATACATACATACATATTCTTTCTCCTTCCCAAGAAAGTGTTTGAAGTCAAGACTTAGAAAGTGTTTGAAGTCAAGACTTCTTCTCTTCTTTCCTTATCTCCTTCACTCGGATATGACTCGTCCCCTTGTCTCGCTGTTCCTCTCCTCTTCACGTCTACTTTTATCAATAATTATGAATTATGAACGTCACTTTTATCAATAATTATGATTTTCCACATCACTTTTATCATTTTATGTATATAAATATTTTATTTGCTTGGCAGTAAAAAAACATGCTTTTTGGAGAGAGAGATACTATTTCGACACTTGTCACAATTGCACTCTTGATGGCATGGCAATGGACTTGCGCGTTTAAGAAGAAGGTCGTTTAAGAAGAAGGTCGTTAGAAAACGAGGGCAGAGAGAGAGATTGAGAGATTGAGAGATTGAGAGATTTTCGTTAGAAAAAGTGAGATTTTGGAAGTGAAAGAGATCTTATATATGCAAGGATATGATAAGGTTTTTAAAAACAGGGAAACCTAAGAAGAAAAGTCACAAACGAGGGAAACAAAAGTCTAACGTTTTAAAAACAGGAAAAACCTGAGAGTCTAAAGATACAATATCTGATGGGGAAGGAAAAACCTGAGAGTCTAAAGATACAATATCTGATGGGGAAAACTAATGATGTGCAGCAGCAAGAACCTTGTGCTCTCTAAAGTCTAGTTAATGGGAAAGGAAAACGAAATATTGCTATAAAAGTGTAAAAACCTCTCTCCTCTTTTAGGGATTAATCCCTAGGGTCCCGTTAATGGGAAAGGAAAATTAAACAGTACAACAGGGTAAAAACCTCTCTCCCATTTTAACCGATCTTATTAATGGAAAAATCTAAAGAAAGACAAAATCTTGATGGGTATATTTGAATAAAATATAAAAGATGAAAAGTTTTTATGAGTATTTTAAATAATTTACCTATGATAAAAAAAAAAAATTATCAATTTACCTATTTCTCCGTGATATCTTATTATTTCGAAATATAAACTATTTTTTAAAATACTTTTATATCTGGTTACCGTAATTCGAGTCGTCGTTCTGTTGGACGAAATTGATTCTTTCCCTCCGCCATGGACGATAGCCGTGTACAGTGGTCCGATCTTCCTCCTGAAATTTTGCCGATCATCGGAAAAAGCTTGGAAACGTACATCGAAGTCCTTCGATTTCGCAGCGTCTGCCGATCTTGGCGTGCTTCCCTTCCTCCTTTCAACATCGTTTCTTCTCTTTTACCTCTCGATCTTCCTTCTCCAATCTTCACCGCCGATCATCTCACCGATGCCTTGCTTATCCGAAGGGTTATCTATCGTCTAAGTCCCCTCGATCATCAACACTCGTCCGATTCTGCTTCTTCTTCTTCTTTTGCGGCGGAGGGCTGGTTGGCGAAGGTCGAGAGTACAAAATTAGGTACAATGCGTTTTCTGCATCCGCTTTCTACACGCTATGTTAAATATGATAACGAGGTATTTCGGAAGGAAGTGAACTTGCTGGATTTTCGAATTTACGAAGTAGCTAAATCGTATACGCTTGGATATACTAATGGTGCTCTTGTTCCTCGAATTACTAAGGTTGTAATGTTCCCTGATTGCCCCTGGATTGATGTGAAGTACTGCACCATTGTAGCTGTTTACGCAGGTGGAAAATTAGGGTTTGCCAAACATGGAGATTACAAATGGACGCTGATTGACGACCGGAATTTTCACTACGACGATGTGATTGTGTACAAGGGGCAGTTTTATGCAGTTGATAGATGGGGAACAATTTTCTGGATCGATTCATCGATGAGATTGGTACAGTTTTCTCCTCCATTGTGTGGTTTTGGTAATCAGAAGCATTTGGTGGAGTCTGATGATGAACTTTATGTTGTTGATCGATTTCTGGATAAGGAGCCACTGTTATGGAATGCAGATATTTTCCATATCCATTGGTTGAATAATCTCATTGAAGATTCACCTCCTAAAGTAATTGATTTCAAAGTCCACAGGCTGGATCAAGAGTGGGGAAGATGGGTGGAGGTTAGAAATTTGGGGAATCAATCCTTTGTTTTGGGCAATGATTGTTGTTTTTCAATTTCAGCCCCAAAATTTGAAGGAGTTAAAGGGAGTTGCATATATTTTACTCATGCACCAAGATCCACTCTCGGGTATAACACTCATTATTTCGAGCTCAAGTATAAAAGGATTGCCAAAGCATCAATCCATGATAATGAACCAATTTTTGGGCCGCCCCCAATTTGGCTCAACTTGGAGGCCACTCGGTATGAAGAACATGCTTCTGATAATTTATATGTCTCAGCCTGCTAAGGATGCTGGATGAGATGCAAAAATGGAGTCCCAAGCTCATCAGTTGGCATTCTCGATACTGTAAGTTTTCTTCCTAACTATTTTGTGTTTATCCTGAATCTTAGTGTGGCTCTAAATTAATGGTGTCGTCAATGTGTCATTCTGAATCTTGGCTCTGTAGTCTGTAATAAGGTGTTCTTAGAATGTGTAAATATGTTTTCTTTGAACATGGAGAACTCTCAAGCCCTTGGAAAACTTTCCTCTTTGATTTGATTATCTCTCTACAGTCTTGCACGGTGGTCCGATTTGCCTCCTGAACTTTGGATGTTTCTCCATGTCCCTCATCCTCCCAATGAATACGCAGATTATCGTAGCAATTTACTCTTTACTCTGTTGGATGAAAGTCCCACCTCGGCTCATTTAAGAAATGATCATGGGTTTATAAACGAATACAATCTCCATTGGTACGAGGCATTTTGGGAAGCCCAAAGCAAGCCAAGAGAGCTTATACTTAAAGTGGACAATATCGTACCATTTTGGGGATCCGTGATTCCTAACCTCATTGCAGAGGAAGGAAATGAATTTACTATATTTTCAAATTCACAAAGAGCTTATGTTCAAAGTGGACAATATTATACTATCATGGAGATCCGTGATTCTTTCAAATTCACCAAGAGCTTATGCTCAAAGTGGACAGTATCATACAGGTTGTTGAATCGTGTAGGCTTGTTAGCACTCCGGGAATTGGTGTTTCTGGAATTCGTAAGGTTCCCCATTGATGTTTCTGGTGTTAGACGAACACGACTCTCCGCAATGGTATGATATTGTCCGTCCACTCTGAGCATAAGCTCTCATGGCTTTGCTCTGAGCTTCCCAAAAGGTCTCACACCAATGGAAAGAGTATTCTTTGATTATAAACTCATGATCATTCCCTAAATTAGTCGATGTGGGACTTTTATCATCCAACACTTTCCCTCCGAACAAAGTACGCCTCCCTTTAATCGAGGCTCAACTCCATTTTCTTTTGGAGTCTTAGTCACTTTTTTACTATGCCTTCGAGGAGGCTCGACTCCTTTCCTTTTGGGGTCCTTTGTTCGACATTTGAGGATTTACCAATCTATTGGCACGACTCTCCACAATAGTATGATATTGTCGACTTTGAGCATAAGCTTTCATGGCTTTGCTTTGGGCTTCCCAAAAGGCTTCACACCGACGGAGAGAGTATTCTTTGATTATAAACCCATGATCATTTCCTAAATTAGCCGATGTGGGACCTTCATCATCCAACCTCTGGAATTCGTAAGGTTCCCCGATTCTCTATGGATCGATGCGAAGGACTGCAACATTATAGCGTTGTACAAAGACGGAAAATTAGGGTTCCCTAAACTTAGGGAGGAACATAATTTTCAATAAAGCGATGCGGTTGGGCGCAGGGGCAATTGTATGCTATTAACTTGAAATTTATGGGTAAAATTGTAAGATTTTAAAATTTATGGACTAAATAAAAAATAAACTAAACTTTATAGATAATATATATATATATATATATATTTATTATTATTATTGTTTTTTTTTGTAAAAAAAAATTATAATTGTATCTCCACGTTATTCTTAACATAAAGTGGTAGAATGAATATCTTTGATAAGAAAATTGAAATGACAAGTAGTTTGAAATATTTGGTCTAAATATAAATATACTTTCCTAGTAAATATTTTATTTTTGAAAATTATAAAGATAAACAAGAAAAAATTTCAAATTAATACTTAAAAAAAAACGAAATATAAACAATAATGAAACAAAATATTAAAATTGAGCACATTAATTGTAACTTGATTTCACCCAAAAAAAAAAAAAAACTTAATTACTATTTGACATTTATTATTTGGAAATTAATCATCTGTACTCAGTTTTTAATTGGTATTTAATCATATTTAATATATTTATAATTAGAAGTACTAACATTTCTAGCATATTTAATATGTAATGAAGCTAATTTATAACTACTCTCCACTAAATCTTCAAATCTTTCATAAATAATATAATATTTTTATTGCTTCTCTTTATTTATATATATATATACAAAATATATTTCTTTAAACATTTAAACATTAATAGTTAATAATAAATTAACTTCTAAAGTTTTAATTTATTTAAATTCAACTTATTCAATGAGTTGAGTTGCATTTTCTTTTATTATCAAATTTTTTCTATTATATATTTATATTTAAATATATATATAAGAAAATAATAAATTTAAGTTTGGTCCAATTATTTGAACTTAATTTGTATTTAGTCCACAAATATTCGTAATTTAACATTTTAGGCCTTCATGTCTTAATTTATATTATAAAATTTTCCCTTCTTCTTCATCTTCTTCTGCGTCCGCGGCCGCACCGCCATGTCGCAGGCTTCCTCGCCCTCTTTAATTACCTCCATTTCTCTCTTTCTTCTTCCCAATTACAATAACCTCACGCCAACGTATATCTTCAACTCATTTTATTTCTAATCTATGTCTTTATTTACGACTCATTTGATAATGTAAGTTTAAGTTTTTGTTCGCAGGGGGAGATTGTTGCCGATAACGGATTCTCTGCACCGCCGCCGGAGATACTCCAGCGTCAGCCATGAACATTCGAGCACCAGGTAAACAAATGCGGCTTCCAATTGTAATGAAATTCGAACATCAATTAATGTGTGTAAAATTCTAACTAGCTTCCAATTTCATTAATCCAAGTCGAAATGCTATTCTGAGAAAGCCGGTGCAAGCCACCACGGCGGTTCCAACCTCGGTGCCGGTGCGTGTAGCTCTGGAGCTTCTTCAAGCAGGATATCGATACTTAGATGTAAGAACGCCGGAAGAGTTCAGAACCGGCCACGCTCGCGCCGCCATTAACATTCCTTACTTGCACAGAGTCGGATCGGGTAATTTTCTGTCCGATTCTCAAAATTTCTCTCCACCGAAATTGAAATTCGATGATTTTTAATGAAGATTTTTTGCAGAGAAGGCGAGGAATCCACATTTCTTAGCGGAAGTGGCGATTCATTTCAGAGAAGATGATGAAATCATCGTTGTAAGTTTGGTTTCATTATGAAATTACATTATGAATCCTTTTGGGAAGAAAAATTTGAAAATCTTGATGATCCTTCACGATTGGAATCTGAATTTTGGTGGTTTTGTATTGTCGGAAAGGGAAGCCGAAGGGGGAAGCGGTCTCGTATGGCTGCCGCCGATCTTCTTGCCTCTGTAAGTCCTTTGGTTTGTTAGTTTTTATTAATTTGACCTATAAAGAATGGGAAGTATGAAGTGATATTTGTGTAGGGATATAGGTATGTAACGGACATATCAGGTGGATATGAAGCTTGGTCTCGCAATGGACTTCCCATGGGAAGTTCTAAATAATCACCAAAACAAGATCTTCCCCAACTCTTTCACAGCCACAATAATTCAATTCAAAACAACCAAAAATAAAAATGTTATGAATTCGAATCTTTTCTTTCTCAGAGCAAATGTTAAGGGAAGCAAACATGTTCGGAGATCTTTCATCGATCGACGATTGCTGTGAATCTCAATATGCAAAGACAATTACTACTAAACCATGTTCAGTTTTAACAAAAATTTGATCAATTTAATAAGCGAAAAGTTGATGACTTTCTGAATTATAGATCAACATGCATCAAATATAACGTTTCGTAGTTACTAATTAACGACGTCCTATTTTCTTCAATTCAGTCCATCAGCCAGATGGACTGCTTGAAACTACGAGGTACAAACAAATTTTCGACTACACTTAAAACAAACCAACCACAGTCGTCTTTAACAGCACAAAAAAAAAGGTACATTAAAAGATGCCTCACCTGGAGCCACGAGGATACCTCCTATCCGGGCTGCCGTACGGGGAGTAAGGAGGCGACCTGGAGTGATCCCTCCTTGATCTTCCACCATAAAGGGGGGAATGTCGAGGGGAGTACTCTCGAGGACCCCGATATGGTGAGCGTCTTGGAGACCGACGATACCCATAGTCATCACGAAGAGAGCCACCACGGTACCTTCCTCGATCATCACGGTAGCCTTAGAACAAGAAGGAACAAAACCAGCGTCAAGGTAATGCATCAGGTAAATTACAATTCAAAGCACATCATTGCGAATTACTCAATAGGTTATGCTTACCAGAGTCTCTGGTGTTTTTCAACCCCAAATAGTGTCCAGGCGTTGGAGTTCTTGGCCGTTTCCTCCGTGACTGAAAGACAACAAATGCGTTACCTCATTTCTTTCGGTAATAACCCGTCAAATATAAATAAAAGGGTTCGATCGTATCGTTCATAATGTTTTCAGATGAGCTCATCTTGCAAAAACTAGTTTTAAATTGTTGGCAGAGCATCATTATCAGTACGAAATATTCATGGGGGAAAATGGCCACCAAAAAAAGGATGCACTTGTGTTCAATGAATGCTAGGCATGAAATACCATAAAGCCTGATTAGAAAGTTCTTGATAATGTCCGTTGTTTAGTTGAGTTGAAAGTGAATGCTGATGTAGAAAAGTTGTTGGGCAATATATGTTTAGTTGATCGGGCGCTGCAATTGAAATCTGTTGTTTAAGCTTGTCATTGACCAAGCTGTTTCACAAAAAGTTGACATGGATGAAGAACTCATCATCTCTGATGGCTGCCAACGTAGCTGACACAACTTGTTCAGAATAAACCAGAAAATCTCCAAGTTAGGAAAAAATAACGAAATTACTCGAACGCTAACCAGAGAAGAATAATCATAGTACCTTCTCCACAGTTATATATCGACCTTCTAGAATTGACTGGTTGAGATGCTTAACATACCGATTAGCATCATCAACATTGTCCATCTGGACAAATGCAAAACCCCGGGAAATTCGTGTTCGTGGTTCAACCACAAGGAAACAAGAAGCTACCTGCAAATATTAGAAGCATTACAAAAGAAAGAATAAACCGACTACACCATGACCAAGAAAACAAGTAATAGAAGAACTTTGGGCCATTTGTTAACTAATCCAATTGTTAGTTTTTCGATACGATGGGATATTATGGATTCACAGAACTTGAGGTCATTTGTTATCTATCCAATTACCATTCCAATGTTCAAGAAATACAATAAATATGATCTTGCTTTATGTTGTATCGTTGGTTTTCAGATCACGAACGAAGTAGGTAAATCTCATATAATCATGCAATCAATTGCAAGTAATTGGGGATCAGAAGCTAACCTTGCCCTCCTTGGAAAAGTGTTCTTCAAGGTCTCTTTCAGTGACCCTCGCAGATAGACCGGTGACATAAAGCGTATTCCCAGGGTTAAGGGCATTCTCCCTGGAAGAAGCTAAAAATGTTATCCAAGGAGAATCGAAACACTAACAACCTAAGCAGCAAAGGCATGAAATAGACCCAATTCAAGTACTGAAACAGAGTATTGTTTGTTTTTCATCCAGAGTTCCAGCTGAAGAAACGCACCTCCCACGACTTCTCGACCTTGATCTAAATCAGAAACATGTGAAACCATAAGAACAGGGTTCAGGTACCAAGTTCACCAACATAAAGCATTTTGACTTTCAGTTTATCCAAGTAATAAAAAACTATAAAAATCAACCTTCCACGACTTTGAGACCTTGGCCTTGACCATGATCTGGATCTAGACCTGGGCCTCGATCTTGACCTTGAAGGAGCTCTCCAGGGGGAAGGAGATCGAGAGTACCTGCATCAATTATTACAATAAATAATTCTAACATCAAGGATCTACTGGCACTAGAATTACTAAAATGAGTACATTCTGAAGAAAATAGAACGTTCTAAGTTCTTAAACTGCCAAGTTTCATAACATCGAAAACACACACAATCTCTTTCACCCATGCTTCCATTGAAAATGTTCTACTGTTCTATCAACCAACTTACCGACATCTGAACGGATGAAAAAAAATTCTAAAAATGCTCAAGACTCGTGGACTAATTATTCCCTTCATGGAGAGGGTTCAAAAAGTGTGATAAAAAAATTGACGGTACAAAAGATCATGAACGCTGCGACACAAATCATCCATGTGCCCTAGGTCCAGAAAACCCCCGAGATCGTCAATCGTAAGAAAAACAAATCATTTCAACAGAAAGCATTTAAGCTCACCTTTTGCGATGAGAATCAGCCTGCAACGAATCAGCAGCATTCGATTATTAAATATTCAATAGATCAAACAAAAACAACGATAAACAGATAAAGATTAATAGAAACGGGGGAAAGAAAACAAAAACTTACCATTTCCGCAATGAAATCAAAAGGCAAACAGCTAACGAAAAACACAGATACAAAACACGAATTTTAGGGTTTCTGAGGACGGCTTCTCCACGAGCCGCAGCGGTCGCAAATCGCCGTCGTGGCTTGTGCGACCTTTGGGATTCGTGAGAAAAAAAATTTCGTATTGTTTCAAGAATTTTCCAGTACAGTGTGCATATTTTTCTTATCGTGCACTCTCGCATCTCAACCGTACATCACTGCATCTTCAAATTAGCTTTATATGATTAAAAAAAAATCAAATTATAGCCTAATTCTTGTAAGTTTATTAATTAAATCTCTGTATTAATAATTATATCCATTAAAATTTTAAATTTTTTTTGCAAGTTTATTAATTAAATCTCTATATTAATAATTATATCCTTAAAATTTAAACTTTATTAATTTACATGTTTATAACAAAATAAATAAACCTTTAAAGTCATTAATAATTTTCTTCAGAGTTGGATTAACTAAATAGATAGTTTAAAAATTATATTATAAAGCTTTCCGTCTTAATTTTAATTAATTAGTCATTAAAAAAATAATAAATCAATGCATTTACTCAGAAGCTCATACTAAAGCTGAAATCTCGCTCAATAATCTATGAACAAGAGAGATCCCTGAATATCTAGTTGAAAACCAAGTTGATGATGTCATAAGTTAAAGGCTCGGGTGAGGCAAGAGTCCTACATAACACGCTATTGGTAGTGATTCAACCACGGTGCCACAAATTTGTAAATTTTTTATATTTTATTTCGACTAAAAATTTAAACATTTTCTAAAAAATTATGAAAAAAAACATACATAATTTTCCAACGTTGAAACTTTATTTGAAGCAAAATGAATGAAAACTCACAATATCCCTTATTGCATACAATCATCAATGAACAGCAAAGAAAATCCCACCAGAAAGCAAAACAAAGCAGAAAGCTATGTAATTTTCATACTTTTGGACAGTAAACTTGCCTACCCACTACTAAGGTATCGATTCTCTTCCCCGTTCGCCTGTTTCGACTCCGGTTCGAGAGGGTCAGTTCTACCAGTGGCAACTACTTACAGAGCCTAAGACCAAACTTGCAGACAGCACCATTGCAGAAGGAGCCTAAGTGGTCAGAACATCAGGAATTGCAGTTGAATGAGACCCTATTATCTTCCCCCCAACATCAGGGAAGTTTTCACATCCAGGCAGAGAGCTGACTTTCCCGTCACGGTCGACGAGCAACGGATACCTGAGAAGGTGGCCTTGCAATGTCGCGAATTCATCCGCTGTAAATATCTTCCAGTTATCCTCAGCAATCTTGTTCACTCTTCGTACACATTCCAAAGTTTTTGGCTCCTCAAAAATGGGATCGAGCATACCGAGATGCTCGCTCCATAACGACATTCTATACCCGTAAATCTGTTCATATAGTGATTAACAATGATGAGAAAACTAAGTTTTTGGCTCCTCAAAACAAGGATCGAGCATACATAACGACATGCTATACCCGTAAATCTGTTCATATAGTGATTAACAATGATGAGAAAACTGATATTGGTTTAATGCTAAGTTACTCAGATCAATATGCTTCATTTCCCGACGAAGAAACGGTGACAATGTTGCAAGAGAAGTCGAGAAAAGGGCTAACCTGACCATGTGGGTGTTTCTGCTTCTTTGCCCACGTGTGATGCGGCTGATAGGCGCCGGTGGCTATCTCGGTATCCTTTGTCCCAGCCATAGATCTTTGGTTGATATTAGCAGACCCAATGATTACATATTCATCATCTACTATCATTCCCTTGGCGTGAACGTAAATCATAAACCGTTTATGTTTTAGTGAATTACACGCCTGAAATATACGCATATTCAACAAAAAAGAGTATTAAAGTTATGATCAACCAATGTAAACTTGCTCCAAATCGAATGATATGTAAGATTAACCAACTGGGAAACAATTGATCTCGTGATCATGAAACATACGGTCACAACAAAATGAGAACAGTCCCGTCAAGAACATCCGATAAAATTGAAACGAAACAATATGAGAATCAACTCCTATACCAATTATCAGACGAGGCCAATAGGTGGGAAGAAAAGGAAAGAACTCGATATCGACATGAACTGTTGTAAACAAAGCTTCATTTTTCGAAAAGTTACCATACCGTTGCATTGTCGATGTTCGGTCCATTTGCAGGAATTTCTTCGCGTTTACCAAGACAGTAGAAATTTAGATAGTCTTGAGGGTGCAAATCTGGTTGCTCTGATGACTTTAGTTCACTTGCAACAATGTCATACATCATTTGCATTGTTTGTCCCTACGATCAAAAAATAATATGTAAATGTTTGAACCCAAAGCTCATCAAATCTTCAGCTAGCAGATATTATCCGTTTTGGTCCGTTACGTATCGTCGTCAGCCTCACAGTTTTAAAACGCGTCCACTAAGGAGAGGTTTACACATCGTTATAAGGAATGCTTCGTTCCCCTCTCCAACTGAGGTGGGATCTCACAATCCACCCCCTTTGAGGGCCCAGCGACCTCACTAGCACACCGCTCGGTATCTGGCTCTAATACTATTTGTAACAGTCCAAGCCCACTGCTAGCAGATATTGTCCGCTTTGGCCCGTTACGTATCGCCATCAGCCTCACGGTTTTAAAACGTGTCTACTAGGGAGAGGTTTCCACACCCTTATAAGGAATGTTTCGTTCTCCTCTCTAACCGATGTGGGATCTCACACTTAGCCAGCTTGTTTAATGGTCTAGTACAACACATTCGATAATGGATACAGTGGAAACCCGAGCCTGTAGTCAACGTTTCACATTCAATCTATCCAGATTCTATTTCAGATTGCGATTTACCTGCCAATAAAGAATCTCTTGCATGGCACCGCTATTCGGATCTCCCTCGGGCCACATTGGTATAACAATATATACAACAAATCTTTCCTTGGCTCTAATTTTGCTCGCAATTTTAAGGGCCAACTCCATGGGAATGAGATGATCAGCCCCTGTTCATGCCATAAACCCAGAAATGTACAATATAGAATAGTGGATATTAGAACTCTAGAACAGAACTTGGAAGAGAGACTGACCAGCATTTTTATATCCTGGCCATCCATACGACGATCCGATAAAATACTGATTTTCGATATAAATGAAATGTTGCGCCGATCTGATAGCCTGGATATATGCCATTTCGATGCTTTTCTCTATAGCCAAGTTTTTTGCACATACAAGATTCTGCAGCCACAAGCAAACCGACATATCGACATCAAATTGATATTCTACTAACCAAAATCGAGAGTAGTGAAGTGAGAACCTGCAACACGGCAAGATGAGCATCTTTTGGAAACCCTTTGACTGATCCAGAGTCGATGGATCGGAAAATCTAAAAAAGAAAAAACAAAATATAGGCATGGATTTAATAAAGAGATGAAACCAATAATAAGAGAACTCATAACAAGCCCATGAGTTGTATGAATTCGAACCTGAACATGCCAGTTTTCGGGATCTTCTTCCTTCGAAACATATACATTAGGTTCATCGTCTGGAACTTTTGTTGAACCATCCGGTAACGTATTTAGTTTAGGGCTTAGTATCCATGATATGCGCTCTATCTTTATTAAAGCGTCATGCCAGTGAGTAATTCTCCTGCACCGTAGGCCAAACTCTGTCCATCTTGTGGCTTTGTTCCAACGTTGCTCAAAGTTCATAAGCAAGTCATATGCAGCTGGCCCATCGATCCGACAGTGCAAGTCATGCCATGGTTCCCTTGGACCATTGGTTCCAGGCTAGTGTGTTTCATCCAAAACAACAAACAAAAACATTGGCAATTGTCTCAAGTTCTTAATCACCCAGAAGAGAAAAGCGTAATCAAGTATCAAACTGTTTTATCGAAGTGAAATTGTCGTTTAATTTTACTCACAGGAATTGCAGGATTGTGAAAATCTTCCTTAAATACTGTGTCGAGGTCACGAAACAATCGATGCTCGGGTGTATCGTAACGACCATCACAGAGATCAAGACCTCCAAGAAATGCAGTTATCTTTCTATTATTACCATATCCCTGTGTATCAACAAGGACACACTTTTGATGGTGTGTGAAGACAGTCCCTACAACCTGGATAAACACAATACATGAGCAACTTCCAATAATAGGTCAGTCAATCACAAAGAAAGTCAATCCATAGAATTATTGACTCTCCAAAATAAGAGAAACAAGAACGGTAACAGTCCAAGCCCACCACTATCCGATATTATCTTTTTGAGCTTTTCCTTTCGGGCTTTCCCTCTAGGTTTTTAAAACGCGTCTACCAAGGAGAGGCTCCCACACCCTTATAAAGAATGTGACTATCCCTTTTGAGCTTCCCCTCAAAGTTATTAAAACGCATCTGCTAAGGAGAAGTTTCCACACCCTTATAAAGAATACTTTGTTTCCCTCTCCAACCGATGTGGGATCTCACAATCCACTCCCCTTCGGAGCCCAACGTCCTCACTGGCACACCGCCTAGTGTCCACCCCCTTCAAGGCTTAGCGTCCTTGTTGGCACATTGCCCGGTGTCTGGCTCTGATACCATTTGTAACAATCCAAGCCCACCGCTAGTAGCTATTGTCCTCTTTGGGCTTTCCCTTTCGAGTTTCCCCTCAAAGTTTTTAAAACGCATCTGTTAGGGAGAGGTTCCCACACTCTTATAAAGAATGCTTCGTTCCCCTCTCCAACCGATGTGGTATCCAACAATCCATCTCCCTTTGGGGCCCAACGTTCTCAGTGGCACTCGTTCTCCTCTCCAATCGTTTCCACACCCAGCCATGAGGTTCAAAATAAGTGATAAATAGTAGCCTCCTCATATTCCCCCCTTGGCACAGGGAGGTATTAAACCCATACCTTTTGTTTCACATAGCTTAGCTTGCCACTCGGATAGCGAGGCGAAAGCACACAGATAACAGAAGAATGCTTGAAAAATTTGTAGGTTTCCTCGTCATGCGTCTGCATCAATCCTTCCTGCAATCGATGACGATTACATTTTACAATCAATTATTCCAACCCGTCTTATATAGAAGAGTTTCGAGCAATCCCTTCAGTATAACCATAGAAACTAGTACTAGATTAAAGAATGATATTCAAGGCATCAGAATTCAAGAACTCTAGCATAAAATCACAAGGATTCATTCAATCATTCAACTGTATATTCTAAAGAAATCTCACCGTGCTGATGAAGAACTTATCATGAGAAGTCTTATCATCCCAAATCATCAACAAAACTCGAACACCCTCTTCTGATTTGTATTTGAGCAGCTCACCAAGAGTCAAATCCCCGCCTCGGGGCAGTGGCCTGCTCGGCTCTCTAACCAGCCTCACCTTATGAAAAACAGACCATCCGACAATATAAATCATATGATGAGCCTCTGTTATAGCATGGCAAATATCCTCCCAACATTTCCCTTGTCTAAAAACCTTCCCACCATCCAATTCAATCTGTGGCAGCAGCCCATCAGGCACATGAGCATCTTGGTACAATCTCATGGAGCTCCCTTTCCTGACAGGAAAATATGTATGCCGCACACCCTTATGCTCTGGATCTCCGGCGATACCATGACGATACGCCGGGTTCTTCTCAACCGAGGTAAACTTCATTTCGATTTGGAGTTTCGTGTCAGGCTTTGGCGGCTTGCCATTGGAGCCAATCACCGGAAACCACCCACTAATGGTCAGACCAGAGGCAATTTGCCGAGCTGGGAACTTGACCGTCCCCATAACCTCAGCGCCAAAGACATCGTCATCTTTCACCTGGAATTCTATTTCAGCCATTTTCTGTGCAAGAGGGATAACAAAATGCTCGTTCCATTGGGGATCCTGGGAATTCTTTATCACGCGAGTCCGTGCGACGGTGGCTTGAGGAACCCGGACGGTAACATATGGATCACTGGTGATGATTTTGCTATGGCCACGGTGGACTTTCCCCTCGTCGACGGAACGGGAGTTGGTTCCGACGGATTTAATGGCAGAGTAGTCGAGAGTACCACAAGCGGTGAAGCACCGACGAAGACGCTCCGATATAATATCCATATTAGGCAACTGGACGGCCTGGAAGATTTTGAGGTCGAGATCGCCATGGAGATAGACCTCTTCTGAACTCTCCGCCATGAAAACTGAAGAGACAAACCCCACCGCCGTTTCAGTGGTTTAAACAACCAATACCCACGAAACAAGACGCAAGAAACAAAGAAAATAGTAAACAATTGAAATGGGGAAATGGGTTTTGACCGACAAGAAATTTCTTACCAAAATCAAGCGGCTACAAAACTAGAACAGCTTATGAACTGTGCCAAATCCCAATAATCTTGCTTGATTCAGATTGCTTCAAACCCCTTTGTTCATTCCCAAAATGTAAAACGAAGAACAAAATGGCGATTGCCTTCATTAACGTGGGACAGGGACAGTTGAAGAAATTGAAAGTCCATAAGATTTTCGTTACCAGTCTGAATCCCCCATGTTAAAATCAACTGGTAACCACCAAATTAACCAAGAAATTGCCCCACGCGTGCGTTGAAATTTCTCAATCGATACCACAATCCATCGCCATCGCCGCTTCACCTCTCACTGTAAAAGCGAAAGCAAGAGAATAAGCTGAGAAATGCGTTGATGATCCGTTCTAAAGCGACGATTATTTGCTTTTGAAGGCACTAGAACGTGGGGCGCACTGTGATTAGTGAATCTTCGTATCAAAAAAATAGTTATTTCCAGTCGTTGATGTGCTTTATGTAAAAGTTACCATTTCAGCTCGAATCATTCCCAAAAACGGAGGAGGTTTCTTTCAAAGATTCATCGTTTCAATCGGAAGAAAGGTATCGGATCTATCGCCTTCGGTTTTGTTTTTGAGCTAAGCGATCACTTTTTTCTGTTAAATCGCTGTTTCAGTATCCATAAGTCAATACTTAATTTTAAGTTCATCTTTATTTAATTTGGGTTTGATTACTATTATCATAGCTTCTGAAAGTTTTAATCTTGGCAATGAAATTACTAAAATAACCTTTTAGTCAATAGTATATGTTATACTTCACTTCGCGTATATTCTTTACCAAATATGATAAGTTCGAATCTTTATTTTTCAACTCATCTCTCAGTATTTTCATAATCCCGACCTTCTCTCACACGCTCTCCCGTATATTATTTAAATATGGATAATAATGCATTTAATAGGGTAAATGACGTTTTGAGCTCGTAATAACAATACGAACTCAAAATATATTTTCTGTATAGCATTGCTAGATCATCGGACACGCAATCTCGTGCACACTCCTAGTAATGGTATACATTCATAATAATTTTCTCTCATGTATCTAACCGTGCAAAACTAACTATCACACAGCCTCATGCACGTTTTTAATAATGGTATGAATTCGAAACTATCAGCCACAAATCTCGTGCACGCTCTAATAATTGTACAAACTCAAAATATTTCTCTATCATACATCTAATGGTATAAAAACCATCAACCACATAGTCTCGTGCATGCTCATATACCTATAACGGCTCGAGCCTACCACTAACAGATATTGTTCGTTTCAACCCGTTATGTATCACCGTCAGTCTCGTGGTTTAAAAACTCGTCTACTAAGGAGAGATTTCCATATCTTTGTAAACGTCTAAAATCGTGAGGTTGACAGTGATACATAACGAGCCAAAGCAAACAATACATGCTAATGATGAGCTTTGACCATTACAAATGGTATCAGAGATAGACACTGAATGATGTGCTCGTAATGTTTGGGGTTGGATTGTGAGATCTCACGTTGGTTGGAGAAGATAGACACTGAATGGTATCAGAGGTAGACTGCTCGTAGTGTCTTAGACTATTACAATATCGGTACAAATTCAAAATATTTTTCTCTCGTACATTTAACAGTGCAAAACTACGTATCACACAGTCTCGATCGATAATCAAACTCATTTATTCTTTGCCTCAACCTCCATCTTCTATCACCCTTTTTTTCCAAAATTTCCGGAATTATTTCTTCCCTTATTTAACTATATTCTTTCTTTGCTTCTCTCCCACCTCCCTCGCCATTTTTTTCTTCGAACATATTCTTAAAGTTTAAAGTAATTGACATGTATTTATTCTCTCGAGATCGAAATTCTAAATTAACAAAAAGTATATTTTTAATATAAATTTATTAATTAACGTCAATTATATCGGATAAGGATGTTTGATTTTAATTATTTAATCTCCAAAGTAATAAAGTAACTTTAATCTTATAAAGTGAAAATAATTATTTATTAACTTTAGCAAACGAGGAATGTTTGACTAGTAACGTTGTCCACCGTCTTCAAGCAATGGATAAATTGTACTATATAATAATGTAACGGAATAATTTTTTTTTTTTCTTTTTAAAATATGGAGTAAAAAAAAAATTTAATTTATTAGTCAATTATATTTATTTTATACAAGGGAACTAAGATCTTGATGTAATTATTAAATAATATGGCCTATAGGTTATATGAAAAATATTTGTCTTTTTCCGCTATTGGGTTGCCTCGTACGGACACAAATTATCTCTATAGCCGGTAGTCCATGCTTTTCACGTGAAACCAATTTTATTTATTATTATCTAAATACTAAATTAATAAATAAAAATAAAAAATAAAAAAAAAACTTTTAAATTTTATTTTTTATCTAAAAAAAAATACAAAAAAATTTAACTTACACTTGAAAGCTGGACGGGTGAACAGCCCTACTTTTTTTATAAATATTTTTATAAGGACTCTATTATAATTTTATCCCAATAATATGGATTAAAATAATAATTTAATATAATAATTTAAATAATTTTAAATTTTATTTGTTATATTATCTAAAGAGACGGTTACGAGGACATGTTGAGATATTTAAATACGTGGGTATGCTACGTGATCGACTATTAAAAAAATTAATTTCGATGACTGATGAATTAGACTCGACTGGTGGATAGATTGAGTTTTATTTATGGAGTAGCATTCGAGCGATATATTAAGACGTCTAAATACGAAAAAAATACAATTTTGATGGGAGGATCTAATTGAAAATATTTAATAGATAAGGGGTAGATTTTGACTTAAAAAATGGATCTATAATTCTATATTTAGCCTAAAAAAATTATTTATCCATCATCTGGGCTTTTCTGTAGGCCCATTAGATTAAGTCGTATGTTGGGCCGAAATAGCCGTGAGTCTGTACGTGACGGGCCTACCCATTTTAGCCCACTATGGAACAAGACCATTTTTTTTTTAAAATAAATTTTATTAAATAACAAAAAAAAAATCAAGTTTTTAACTAAAATATTGAAATTAGAAAGTAGTCATAATTTTCAAAATTTTAAATAGGACTAATCAAATAAAAAATCGAAATGTTGAATTTAAATTCAATTAAAAATAATAACTTTTTAATACAAATATCAAATATTTTTAATATTCGTAATCATCTTTAAAATATGGTAGGGTTGTGAACCTTATTTTCGAATTAGTCGAGTTTATTCCAACTAAAAAATTTTAAACTAAAACAAATTTTCCTGTTTTTTTTAAATTAAACCTAATTCAACCTGAACAAACAAAATAGATAATCTAAACGAGCAACCCAGTTCTTATAATTTGAGTTGGGTCGTTAAGTAATTGGCTCACGAACCATTCTTATGTATAATAAGACTAACGAAATTTAATTTTGTGATTAATAGATCCAATAATAAAAAATAAAAAATATATAGATAAATTTTATAATATTAAAAGTTAAAGGAGTAGATAGAGACATAACTCACCAAGACTTATTTTATAATTTAATTATTTTTATAATATATGATTGGAAGTGAGTCATATTTTATTTGTTTAGGTAAGGCTTACATGTGAGTGACATTAATGTCATGATCATAATAAGGTAATAAAAAGACAAAATTGCCCATTATCCAATATTCCAATTTAGCTTTATTAGGTGTATACGTCGAAAATAAACATAATTTATCTACATAAAATCTAATATTTAATGCTTTATTCTACCAGCTAAAACATAAAAATAAAAATAATGTTAAATAAATAAATGAAAAATGAAAAAAGGAACACGTCACAAGTAAATTTGGTTGGTGGATTTTTTTTTTTAAAATTTAATTATAATAATTTATCATATAATAATATATTACAGAAATCTTTGTATTTTTATATTATTGTTCATTCAATACCGTAAATAAGTAAAACACTAATATACATACGTAACATGATATTAACTAAAAAAAGTCATATATTATTTAATTGATTAGTAAATATTAAAGACTTTTCTAAGTATAAATATTGATCCATAAGCTATAGTTAGGACCTTAGATATAGATACGATTATATACACATAATATTGAAATAAAAAATAAAAAGGAGAGAGAAAATATATTTTTAAAAATTAAATCCCAATTAAATTTATATACTTATAATTTTATTTTATTTTTTTCTATTTTTATTTTTATACTTAAAATATATTAACATTTTTAAAAATAGCATTTTATACATACACTTTATATGGGTAAAAATAATAAAAAATTAATTAATTTTTACCGTCAATTTAGGATTTTCTTTCTGAAAACATGTTCACAAATTTGGAAATAATTTATTTTTATTTTCAAAACTGAATTAAAAATTAAAATTTAATCATTATTATTTAATTAAGCCGCCGGAGACGGAGGGAAATTAATTAAGGAAATAATAAAGAAAACTGCTCGGATCGAGAGCGGAGAGGAAGAAGCGAAACCAATCTCGGCGTCGGAGTTCATCAAGATTTCCCATTACCGACTCGGAGGATTTGGACTGTCGAGACGAAGACACGAACCGATACTCTCCTCTGAAATTCCAGATCTTGCTCTCCTCCTTCCATGGCGAAGCACAGGCAACCTCGATTTCCTTCTCGGAAGTCGTCTTCTTCTTCTACTCTCATATTTACCTTGCTCATTATGTTCACCTTCGTCATTCTGATTCTTCTTGCCCTTGGAATCCTCTCGATCCCTGGAAATTCTGGCGCGCCCAAGGCTCATGATCTGAGCTCGATCGTGCGGAAAACTTCCGATGAGTATGTTATTATCTGTGTTCGATTTCAATTTTTTTGTTCTGTATGGGGTTGATTTTAAATTGGTTGTTTGATTTTGTTTTAGAGTTGACGAGGAGAAAGGAGAGCAGTGGGCTGAAGTGATCTCATGGGAACCTAGAGCCTTCGTTTATCACAATTTTCTGGTATTCATTTTCTCCCCTGATCTATGACGAGGGATTTTTGTTTTATGTTCGTTCGTCGCTCTCTATGCAATTTGTGTATGGAATTATGTGAACTTGGTTGCTGTATGCTGATGATACGTGTTAGATGCGTGCATATGCCAATGAAAACCAAGGGATTATGTTTACGTTTCTCTTAGAAATCCTTCTTCTCTTATGTTATGCTGAGAGGGGTTGAGGATGATTCGCATCTGTATTTGTCATTAGATTGCTTTAAGGAATTTCTGAATTGGTTTACTTTTTAATTGCTCAGACAAAGGAGGAATGCGAGTACCTAATCAGCCTTGCCAAGCCTCACATGCAAAAGTCTTCCGTTGTTGACAGTGAAACTGGAAAGAGCAAAGATAGCAGGTCTGAAATTCTCTTCCCCAGAATTCCCTTTTGTCAGTAATGCTTGATCTCTAATGTAGAAGCCTCCACGACCTCTCTTTTACAGAGTTCGTACTAGCTCTGGAACATTTTTGCCCAGAGGACGTGATAAGATTATTAGAAACATCGAGAAAAGGATTGCTGATTTCAGCTTCGTACCCGTAGGTATATATTCTTGAGCCTATTTTCCTCTTCCTGGTTTCTTCCCACTACATCCAGCATTGTTCTTCTTTTATTTTATTATGCATGGCTAAAC